GTGTTTTTGAAAATATAGAAATTCAAAAACCATACAAATTAATTGAGAGTGTAGATAGAAGATTATTACCAGCAGAATGTAGACAACAGAATTTAACTTATGGTGGACAGTTTTATCTTAAAATAAAAGTAACTGTTGATAATATAACACTTATAGATGAATACAAGCCAGTTGGAACATTCCCAATAATGCTTAAGTCAAAGTTATGTCACTTGAGGGATCAAACCCCAAACAATCTCACTAAAATGAATGAAGATTACACTGAGTGTGGAGGAATGTTTATTATGAACGGTTATGAGAAATTAATTAGATTTCATATCGCACCAAAAAGGAACATACCTTTTACTTATAAAGCAAAGTCTAAAGATAAGCTTTATTCAGGATTTGTTTCAGTAACAAGATCAGTTGGTGATGATGAAATTGGACAAAGGTATGAAATAAGACATTGTGTTAATGATGATTTTCATATGAAGTTCTATTTTCAGAAAAGAATTTATAATATCCCTTTGTTAATAGTTTTAAGAGCACTTAAAAATACATCAGATGAGGAAATTTACAACAAACTTGGAAAAGATCCAAGAATTTTAATTTTTTTAGAAAAAAATAAAAACGTTGATGCATATTCTAGAAAAGAATGTATTAATTATATTGGTGATAGATTAAAGTATCCTTACAGAATGAATGAACCACTTGAAGCAGGTAGAGAATTTATTAATAGATTATATCCACATCTTAACTCTAATGAAGATAAATTTAATTACATCATTTATTCATTAAAAAATTTAATCAAAGTTATAAACGGAGATGTTGTAGTAGATGATCAAGATTCACCAGCCAATCATGAACTTTATACTGAAGTGCAATTGTTTGCTTTATGTATAAGAGAAAAGCTTGAGGAAATAAAGAAGGTACTTACAAGTAAAATTTTAAAATATTTGAAGAAAGAAAGAGATAATTTGCATGCATCTGGTAATGATGAAAGCAGTACCACGAATAATTCAACTACAATCACTACTGCAACCTTAAATGATTATATTTTAGTATCAGATATTAAGAAAGAACAACATAACGCAATTAAAGAAATCTTTAAAAAAACTGATTGGTCAATTGGATCAAAACTTGATAAATTAATGAAAACGGGTGATATAACAACAATGTCATGTTCAGACATCATGCAGACAACAGGATTTTCAATTGTAGCTGAAAGAATTAATTATTGGAGATATGCATCACATTTTCAGTCAGTTTCAAGAGGAAGTTTTTTTACTAATCTTAAAGTAACAACTGTGAGAAAACTACGACCAGAAGCATGGGGATTTTTTTGTCCAATTAATACACCGGATGGTACACCATGTGGATTATTAAATCATTTAACAGTAGGTTGCAATGTATCAAGTACTAAAAACACTCTTAATACATCAATATTTTATGAACTGGGATTGAATCCATCAGTTGATTTTTCAAAAACATGCTTATTTTACAACGGAAGAATTATGGGGTCAGTTGATGAGACAAGCACTTTTGTTTATTCTTTGAGAAGATATCGAATGTTAAATGATTTGAAAGTAGAAATTATTTATGAAAGTAAAGAAAATTTAGCTAGTGTTATTTATGTTGTTGATAGTGTAAGTATGTTATTGAGGCAAGTGATAAATGTTAAAGAGAATAAAAAAGAATGGATTGGTATCAGAGAGCAATTGTTTTTAGATATAGAGACTGCTAATTTTGAATCAAATGATGTTTATTATGATATTAACAAATTTCCTTATAAGGAAATTGATAATTTAAAAATGTTTTCATCATTAGCAGGTTGTATTTCTTTTGGAGATCATAATCCGTCACCAAGGAACATGTATCAATGTCAGATGGCTAAACAAACCATGGGTTTTTATGCCTACAACTCACATATTAGAACCGATAACAAGGCATATCAGATTAATTATTTACAACAGCCAATAGTTCATACTTATAATAATGAGACATTTGAACCTTATCCACTTGGATATAATTGTGTTGTTGCAGTATTATCTTATACTGCTTATGATATGGAAGATGCTGTAATCTTAAATAAGGCATCAGTTGACAGAGGTATGTTTAAAGGTTATGTTATCTCATCACAGAAGATCAATCTGGAAAAACATTCTCAGATTATTAAAGTTTCTGATGTTGGGGATGTGATTAAAGAAAACGATATTGTTCTTAAATATGAATATGATGGCGTAGAATTGTTCAAGCGTTATGATCATAGTGATACTGGTGTTGTTAAGAAAGTATTAATATATGATAATGGTAGTCCTTCAATTACAATTATTTACAGACATTTAAGAGTACCAACAATCGGAG